GTGGGCCTTCATTTCCTCATCATTAAACAGAAGGGTTGGGTTCGATGGTGTAGAAGGAAACTTCCATCATTCTGTGTCTCTCTAATATCATCTCACCTTGTATTAATCTGATGGGTGAGGCTTTGCTGCAATAGCTAAAGCCCCAACTTCTCAATATTTGCCATAGCTTATATTACTTTTTTAAGTATTTATTTCTTAATTTTGAGAGAGAGAGCATGAGCATAAGCAAAGGAAGGGGAGAGAGAAAAGGAGAGAGAACATCCCAAGTAGGCTCCATGCCATCAGCACCGAGCTTGATGTGGGGCTTGATCTCATGAACCGTGAGATCATGACCTGAGCTGAAATCAAGAGTCAGACACTTAACCCACTGAGCCACCCAGGTGCCCCTACCATAGCTTATATTATTACTACTTCACACAAAACCAGCTGCAGGTTTGGGCAACTCTCCAGAGCAATTGCCTTCCATGCATTACTCTTCCAGGCTGATTCATGCTCCAACTATTATTTACAGCACCTGCAACATATGGTCTCACTAGTTTCATGCAAGTAAGGAGGGAACTGAAGAGTCATACCTGGGCTTTTCACTGACTCTGCTGATATGTGACATACATCACTTCCACTCAGTTTACATTGACCAGAATGAGTCATAACCTTGACTGGGTGTTAGAGGAGGAAGGGCCTGAGAAGGGGTTGAGAAGTGGAAAATCTCCATGTTCTCAGAAGGCGAGAAGAGCCGGATGTTGGTGTATGCCAGTAGCGTCTACACACGGCCCCCCATCAAAGACAAAGACTAGTTATTTTTCGAGCTGCTTCATATGCACTCAGTTCTGACAGTGTTTTGAGATCAATAGAGAAGATATTGCTGTCTTTTACTGACGAGAAAATTCAGAAAGGCTGGGCATCAAATGCAATGTCACAAAGCTGCCTAATGTCTGGGATGGCACTAGATTCCAAGTCTCAAGCTCTCTCCTTCCTGGTGGTTTAAAGAATACCAGATTTATATCAAATGACCTGCACTGGAACCCTGATCATTTATGACACTGGACAGCAATTCTCCGAGTCTCAACTTTCATATCTACGGTAAGAGTAGCAGAGATCTACTTCAGAGTTTGCTTGAGAGGATTAAGTAAGATGATCAAAGGGAAAGCACCTATCACAGAACAAGGCAAATATTAAGTAAACACCACATTTTGTCTATTTAATTACACCGTGGTGTCCTCAAATATTTCAAAGACATAAACTATGTAGTCTCCCATCCAGAGAGCCCTGCACACAGAAGGATTCCACTGTTACACATTAACCAAAAAGAGAGTGATTTTTATTGGAACTCATCTCTGGGAAGACTTTGACCTCTTTGGAGCCCAAGCAGATGTTATATTTTCTCAGCACCTGGTGAAAGTGCCTAGAATGGAGTAGTAAGTGCTCAAAGCACTGGGTGACATGTTTGCTAGACATGTAACACGTGCTTACTAAGTACGATGTATTGTGGTTTCTCTTTCCTGTTTGGTGTTTTCATTCCTGTATTGTTTCTGTTGCTTTCATTCCTTTTATGTAATGGAGGGTAGCAAGAGAGGAAAAAGAGGGAGGTTGGGGAAAGAGATGCTATGGACTGAATATTTGTGTGCCCCACCCCCAAATTCACTTGTTGAAATCTACTCCCCAGTGTGACGGTATTAGGAGGTGGGGCTTTCGGGAGGCGGTTAGGTCATGAGGGTGGGGCCCTCATGAATGAGATTAGTACCCTTAAAAGAAGAAGTCAGAGAGTTAGCTTCCTCTTTTTCTGTCATGTGAGGATCCAAGGAGAAGTCAGCCATCCACACACCAGAAGAGGGTCCTCACCAGAACTTGGTCATATTGGAACCCTGATCACAGACTGCCAGCCTCCAGAATTATGAGAAATACATTTCTGTCATTTATAAGCTACTCAGTCTGTGATACTTTTTTATAGCAGTTGGAACAAACTAAAACAAGAGAGAACATGCCATTCACCATCTTTGAACAGGGGGTGGAAATCCATTAAGAAAAGGGTATGGCTATTGACGTGAAGAATTTATTTTTTTATTAAAAATATTTTTTAACGTTTATTTTTGAGAGAGAGAGACAGAGTGCAAGTTGGGGAGGGGCAGAGAGAGAGAAACACAGAATCTGAAGCAGGCTCCAGGCTCCTAGCTGTCAGCACAGAGTCCGATGCAGGGCTCAGACTCATGAACCATAAGATCATGACCTGAGTCGAAGTCAGAGGCTCAATCGACCCAGATACCCAAGTGCCCTGCTGTAAGGAATTCTTTAATCATGCCCCTTAGCAAGAAAATACAAGGTAAGAAAAGAAATTCCTAGAGCTGGGAGAACAAAATTTCAAGCCTGTAGTGAGTCAGGCAGGAGAGGACCAAAGAGAAGGAAGACGAGGTTGTGCAGGACAAAAAGACAATGTTGTCCCTGCGTCCGCTCCTCCATGCCATGAATGGAGGCTGCTGTGGCTTGGAGCTCATCCTTGCCTGAGTTAAGGACCAAATCCCACTTCCTAAATTTGATCTAATGATCCAGTACCGTGAGGCCATGCGTTCCTCCTTCAAACAAGTGACCTTGGCTGGTTATCTCCATGGTAACAGCTCACATCCCAAACTGTTCCTTCCTGTGTGGGAGGAAACATTGCAGAAATGGAGAAAGGCAAAACCAAACAGTAGTTTTTCTCTCTTATGACCCTTCTTCTTTGGCAAATCATATCCTTTTCCTGACCATTGAGGTCTCCTGAGGAAAACATGCACAGAAGAGACAGTTCAGTGACTTTATTTGCAGATGTCCAGCCAGGACACAATTTAAAAAGTAGAAGCCGGGAGCTGCTTTTCTTTTAGTTTCCTGTAGCTCTCAGGACTTCTCAGGTTGCTTCACCGGTCTTTTCATTAGCAGCCCCTCCACCCCCGAAGAGAAAGGGCAGCTTGTCCTCGTGGTGAGAGATGAGGTCCGAGAGGTGAGGTACCTTCTGCAGGGCATCAGAGCCACAGAGTTAGGTTAGAAAGCCAGATGGAATAAGACTGAGCCTCTCCTGCACCCCCATTCACACCCCACCTTCCTGCCGTCCAGCCCGTGCCTGAGTAGCCAGCCTGGTCAATGAGCCAATATATCTTCCTCGAGCCCTAGCCCGTGCCTCCTGTCTCATAAGCCATGACACTTCCAGTGATTTTCTCCAACAGGATGCCTAGATTTGGGGTAAAGCAAATGTATCCTCTGTCTAAACCTGGAGTAGTGGGGCACCCGGGTAGCTCAGTCGGTTAAGCAGCCGACTTTGGCTCAGGTCATGATCCCGCGGTTCGTGAGTTCGAGCCCCACATCAGGCTCTGTGCTGACAGCTCAGAGCCTGGGGCCTGCCTCAGGTTCTGTGTCTCCCTCTCTCTCTGTCCTTCCCCTGCTCATGCTCTGTCTCTCAAAAATAAATAAACATTAAAATAAATAAATAAATAAACCCAAAGTAGCAATTGCACTGCAAGCTCAATGTTCGGTCTGTTCCACAGCCTTCATGATCAAAGCGACATTCTGCAGGATGGCAAAGGACCCTTCCTCTGCTGACCCCAGGAAGTGCCTGTGTGAACACAAATCCCAATGTGGATCTCGAATGTACCATGGGGTCTACTTTCCAACCGGAATCATGAGCCACGAGTGCTCTTTCCCTGGCCCATTGTCAGCCTTTCCCAGTAGTTTTGATTCCATGATTTTGTCCACGAAAGAAAACGTTTTCCTCTGCAGCATCCCTGCCTGACTTTGACGTACAAAGGTGTAATTAGAACAGCCTGGAGCGAGCGAGATGATCCATTTACCTCATCCCTAACATTTAAGTGCTTTAAAGTATGTTTCTAATCTCCTAGGTGCATAGGGCCAAATTCTCTTCTCAGTATTTCACATGCATGAGTAAATCCACACAGACTAAACCCCTTGGGGCTTAGGTTTTGCTTAGAAGTTCTTTTTTTTTTTTTAAGAAAACAAATATTCCATTAAAACGACATAGTGTACTCTGCATATTTTTAGGACAATTAGAGTTTAGAATTCCCTCTTCTTCCGCCCCTGGTTAAAAAAAAAAAAAAAAAAAAAAACTTAACTCCTTCTTCCCCAAGAATGACATGAAGCCAGGATTAACTGAAAAGCTTTCTGTCTTTTCAAATAATGTTCTCATCTTATGTTGTCAAAATACCAACTGGTGAACTGAGATCCTTGATGTGCTTTGGGAAGAGTCCAAGCTGTTCTGTTGCCAGATAAACACTTTAGGGAGACAGTTATTTGTGAACCTCATGGAAACATTTGCTTGAAACAGGAAAGCTACACTCACAGGAAACAGAAATATAAAAGGAAGGCCCCGCTCTACCATCGGCTTGACTCAAAATGGGTCACCGGTTTTGGTCATTTTTCTTTAGCACTTCTGACTGTGTAAATAGCATCACAAAGGAGAGGCCGCAGCGCGCCGGACTCTGGCCAGACCTCAGCCTGGGCGCTGGAGCCCAAGCAAGACCAAGTGCGAGGAGCTAGACAGTCATGTGACTGGGACCGGAAGGAGCGCCAAGGCTGGGTGCTTCGCTTTGCCTCTAGGCTTATGATGCTGTATATCTTGCGACTCACTGCCGTGGCCTCTCGTGGATAATGTTTGCCTAACCAACATGCAAATCAAATGTTATGTTTGGTGGCGACCAAATTTGGAGCAACATCTTTACAGCACTTGCCAAGTCACAGCCATGTTCAAATTCAAGGGCCCTACAGCTCCCAGATTTAAAATGAGAAGGGAATAGAAGACCCATCTGCAATTTGTTTTTTATCCATGGCAAAGCATATCAAAGGATGGGGAAGCCCAGCCCCGCTCACTCTGTGATTCAGGCAGAAGTAAGAGATACCTTCACGCGGGTCTGACTTGGAAGATGATCTGGATCCAGAGACGGCTTGGGAAATGGCTGGCATGTCCTGGAAACTAGGAATTCTATTAAAGAATCCAAGATGGGACCCATAATTTCTTAGGGAAAATGTGTTTTATTTAAATTAAAAAATAGTGTGAAAATTACAAACTGTTAAATACAGAAGACAATTTTATACAACTTAATAGAATAAGAAGGAAGTATATACATCACTTTTTTCAGAGGCGCAGATAGACTTGCACCAAACTTCAGGATTAAGCAATGGAAAATGTGACAGTGCACAAGTCCGTCGCAGTAAAGTTTCAGAATTCAAGTGATTCCAGGCAAGGGGCCAAACTTAACTTGGCTTCTTTCACCTTAAACAGCCCCCTTTGGAGTAAATCCACACTGTGAATTTTAAAGTGAACAGAGGGCCCTTCCCGCCCCCTGAACATAAATTTCCTCTAGCACTGTGTTAAGGCAAACTGATAAACCAGCTCCTCACTCTTAACCTTTCCATGGGAACAGTGGTTATGGCGATCTCCAATCAAGGGAGAGTGTGTTTTCTTAAACACACAAAACAACAAAACAAAACAAAACTTTTTTTTTTTCTTTTTACTAGAATTAAATTTGACCTTTTGGTGTGTTTCTCTTCCTGCTTGTCTTCAAGGGCCTAATGGGCCGCTACAAAACTACTGACCACAGAAAAACGCAGAGACATTAGCAGGCATTCCTGAACATTTGCTTTTACGTTTCTCGTCTCTCGGCTGAAGTATTAACATTCTACTACCCAGGGAGCTTTGCAGAGTAAAATGTGGTCTCTGCCTCCCTTGGTTCACTGCTGGGGTAAATGACAGCATGACCAGGGTGGTGATTTGATTTCCCAGTTACATGTGTTCTGAGTCCCCAACTGCTCCTTTAAATAAGCAGATCCATTCTCAGACTGACTGGCCAAGTGGGAAATATTTTGTCCAAGCTTCCTCACACCAGGCCATACAGGATTTATCACAGAGTCTTAAAATCCAAAGACATCCTCCTGGCCCCCTGGGGATCTCAATTCAGGAGCCTCCGTGAAGGCAGTAAGCCTCTTGATGACATGCCCAGGACCACACAGTAAATCAGGGTCAGGGCTCGGGATCAGAAGACAGAACCTGGACCCCTGCTTTGTGTGACCTCTGCCCAAGTATGCCCTTCTAGGTCTCGGCTACGTGACGAAATGCCACATCGTGGAGGCCCATGTTACATCAGCTCCCAGCTCCAAAAACGAGGCTGGGAAAAAAGCAGCAGCAGAGCTAACGGCTTGGCCTCATTCAACCCCACCATCACCCCTTCTGGAAAGATCCAGAAGAGTCCCCTGCATGGCTATTCAGGGTGCAGGTTAGATTCTGGGGAAGCTCTTCCAACCAAGAAAACGTCCCCGCCAGCATGTGATGCTGGATGGTCTGAGGTCAGAGTTCAAGGTCATAGGTTAGACAAAGGGTCAGAATAGCAGATGACATTTTATAGTCCCAGCCAATGTTATCAGGCTTAAAAGTTGCTTTTTTTTTTTCCTTACAACATGCAAATGAGACAGGTTTGGATCTCCAGCTTTCTGCTATCAGAAGTCTTGCATCAGACACCCCCTCTAACCTAAATTAACCTCCAAGAGAAGTTCCATAGCCTATTACAGGGACACAGTTGAGGTACTTACAGTCAATCGGATCTAGAACAAAGCTCTAGGCAAATTAGCAAATCACAACTAATTGTGTCCTGGGCGTTGGACAGATGCCGCCGGAGTTACCCAGGGCATCCAGCAAGTCCAGCGACCTGCCGAATTCTGAGCCGGAACCCCAACCCCCAAGCCCCAAAGTCAGCGTACACACTGCACTTCTTCGGGGCTTTTCAGTGGCAAGTCTACATCACGGGCCAGGCGGCGGCTTGGACTCCTGGCCGCTGCCTCCGGCCGAGCCTTGTCCCCCACCACCCCCATTCAGGGGCTCGCCCACGGTCTCTTTAAAGTGGCCGCGGCATGCACTGCAAAAGTGAAACCAGACACGGAAAGTGTCCTTCCTCCCTCTGAGAGTGCTGGCCGATGGGGGGCCCCGGGGGTGCTAGGAATTCTGATGGATGTTCTCCGAGGACCCTTCGCTGCTTTCGTTGAGCGTCTCGGAAGTTTCCCCCAGCTCATCGTCCGCCCCCTCCTCCTGGATGGTGAGGTGCACGTCGGGTGTGGAGGACTCGGAGCTCACGCTGTCCCCTTCCATGGAGCAGAGGGTGCAGGATAGGGCAGGCGCCACGCTCTCCTGCAGCATGTTCAGCATCATGGGCACCTGCACCGACCTCAGGCCCGACACCAGGGGCAGCGGCTTCATGGCCTCCCCCCAGAGCCTCTCCTCATCTTTGTAGAGCAGCATGAGGCTGGACTTCTTCTCCCGCCTCTTAGACTTCATATAACCCAGCATGATCCCGATCAAGAAAATGCCGTAGAAGGACATGACCACTAGAATGTAGAAGTACTCGTTGCCGTTGCTGCTTCCGCCGCCCGGCACGTGGGACGCAAGGTGGCTGCGGGGGGCTGCGGTGCTGGGGTGCGTGCTGTTCAGAGGCTCCATCTTCAGCATTGAAGCAGCGCTCTCTCTGCCAGGGTCTGCGGAGAAACCTGCAGGTTAGACCCCTCCCGCGGGCCACGGCACAGGGAAGAGGCTGAGCAGAAGGGTCATGGGGTTGCAGTATCTAAAAGCTTCCAACTGCACCGGGCAGTAGCGGTAAGAAGTCCCACAAGCCAGTTAGCAGAGGTTAGCAATGAGAGGCCAGAGTGCAGGGGTGGGGGGGTGGGGGGAGGGAGAAACGTGAGCAGTAGTTTTCTTTTTTAGTGGATACATGTCCTCATATTTGCATTTCATAAAACGAGCACGTGAAAAGCATTGCCTTTATCATTTGAAAAGCAAAAGGAAAAACTCAGCGTAAGACAAGGGGGCATAGAAAAAATAACGTTTGAAACCCTGGGAAGCTTTTTCTAACAGAGCAGAAGAAAAAACAAAGGAAAGAAAGAAAAAGAAAAAAGAAAGAAAGCTTGCTTTTTGCTTCTTAGACGTCAACCTATTTTTAATTCAACCCCAAGTTTCCTTAGGACGAAGAGGAAAGGAAAACTTCATCTACTGATCGCGAGAAATACCCCTGTGGCAGATGTTTCTGAAGCAAAGTTGCATTGCTAACTTACCGAGGGCTGGCAAATTTCTTCCAAAGTCCCGAGTTGCTAAAAGGCCAAGTGCAAAAGCGTCCTTCCTCTGCGCGGGGCTCAGAGCTCTGACACTCTGCTGCTGGGATATATAGTCAAGAAATGCATTGTCACGTGTTCTGGGAGGAAGATTTACAACAGAGGTTGGTCGTGGCAGAGTGAGCAGTGAACTCAGAGCAGTGCAGTTCAGCTCACTGAACTTCACAGCTGTGCAAAGAGAGAGAGAGAGAGAGTCGGGGAAGCGGGGATGGTTTCTCATCCCACAGCCCAGATCCACAGTTTCCAGGTGGCCCCGACTATAGTGAAAGCCCATGGGGGGCGGGGGGAGGTGGGGGTAGAAGAATGTGCCCACTTGGAACTGTGACCCCAAAGTCAGCTCTCATTGAAGATTAGTTCATCTCCCTCTCGGAGAATAACCACGATGCCTTCCACAGGTTTCCAGAGACAGTCAGACACCATCATCTGGATAAAGGACAGTTGGAATCAAGGGCAGGGTTACACTGTCAAGAAACTAGGGCTTATGTTTCTATTCTTCCTAACAATGCAAATTTCATAAATCCTTAGCGGACCTTTCTGCACTTCAGATTCCTGGTCTGTAAAATTGTTGGATGTGAGGGCTTCAACATGTAGAGTTATATGAACGGTATGAGCTTTTGAATCCCTGTCAGCTTAACCATTCTAAGATTTAAGGCTGCCCGGGGCCGGACAGCCTTTTAAAAACACGGAGACGTTCTACCCAACTTCTGCATCCAGCTCATAAATGTATTTTTTATAATAAAAAATATTTTTATAATAAAAAAGAACCTTCCAGTTTCTCTTCCATAGCCTGCGTGAAGCAAAAATGGGTTATGGTGCAGGGCACCGTGGGTAGGTGCTGCTTCCGTTCAAGGGCACATAGCTACTCCTCCGTAACGTCACACAGAGACCATCTGCACATCTCTTTGCCATCTCTGGAGGGGCAGGGGAGGGGCAGGAATTCTTCTGGTGACCCTCTGAGCTCAGTTCAGGCTTTTAAAACCTATGCAGACCTTGTGTTAAAATGGCCGCTGTGATCAAATTTGGAAAAGGAATTGAAGACTTTGATGTCAGTCAATCTCCTCCCTAGGATGCTTATTCTGAGAGGCTATTACTCTAAGTTAAAGTAAACCGGGAAGGATGCTGTGTTCCCAGTTGTCTGCGGCCCATGAATCGCAGCCAGGCTATTGTGGGGAATTGACTCTAGAGAAACCATTTCTTGTAGTTCTGCTGTTGTTTAATGGGAGCTCAGGGCAAGCAGGGCTGCAACTGGATGTGTATAGCCCAAGCACGGCGACTTTCACAGCTGCTACACGAACTCACCCAGCTTTGTGCCTGGCCCTACGTCTATGCGGACACCTGTGGAAAGAGCAGGAAAATGAGCACATGCTGCCATTTTCCCCACCAGTCTACTCACCTTATGCATTCAGCTGTGTTCACCCGTAAGTCCCCAGCTGGCTCCAAGGTCTAACCCCTGACCATTCCAACGCCAAGATCATCCATACACTGGACATTTGGTCACATCAATAAAGACATCCTCACAGGTTATGTCAATACTTGAAAAGCTGCACATCTCCCTTGGCCAAGGTCGATTTGGCCTTTGCAATTTGTATTTATCATAAGCACCTGACAGCTTCCACTTTCAACCACACTGACGGTGGTTTGTCAGGGTCATCAGAACCAGAGAGACCCATACAAGACATGTCTGTTGATGGTGGAGCCCAGTATTGGAGATTACATACTTTGGGACATATAGATTAGCAATCACCCGTCGATGGCCAAACCCTGCAGACCTGAAACTCTGAGGAGGCAGAGGAAGGAGATGGAGAAAAGGGAAGGCAGATTTAAGGAGCAAAGAAGCATGAAGCCTGGTACCCAGAAGCCAAGTCAGAAGCCAAAGTCTCAACCAGGAGAGATTCCCCAAATCAAGCCAACAGTCCCAAAACAATAAAACCAAGAAAAGATGGATGAATCCATAATGATGTCCAAAAGACAAAGCAATTCAGAGATGTTGGAAGAACAAAATTCTGTACAGGCACAAGTGAGGGAGGAGCCCAGAGGAAACTCTGTGGGATGCCTGCTTGGTGTCTCTGCTTCTTCTGGGACTCCATGCCGACTCCACGCATAGACGTTCCTCCTACAGTTAAATGTAAGTAATGCAAGTATAGCACTTAGTGCCCTATCTGGCAGAATGTGTGCACCCCATCTATGCTTTTCTGCTCTCATTTTGAGGGTGCTTTGTTGCTGATAAGAGCTTCAGGTTGTTTCCCAATGTGCGCATGCCTGACTCCAGATATTTTATTGTCGCTCTTTTCTCTCCCACCAAGTGTAGAATTGAAGATGTGGGGCTTGCAACCTTGTTACCCAAGCCCAATCTCCTCTCCAGCTCTCACCCCTAACAGCGTTACGAGAATGATAGCAGTGAGGGAGGAAAGGAATGCATCTACAAAGTGTTCTTTATCAGGGAGGGGATGGGGACACCCAACAATTACTAATTACACCTACTCCATGTCATGGTTTCAAGAGACAGCAATGTTGGGGCGGCTGGGTGGCTCAGTCGGTTAGGTGTCCAACTTCAGCTCAGGTCATGATCTCCGGTTTGTGGGTTCGAGCCCTGAGTCAGGCTCTGTACTGACAGCTAGCTCAGAGCCTGGAGCCTGTTTCAGATTCTGTATCTCCTTCTCTCTCTGACTCTCCCCTGCTCACTCGCTCTCTCTCTCTCTCTCTTTCTGTCTCTCTCTCAGAAATAAATAAAACATTAAAAACAATTTTTAAAAAAGAGACAGCAATGTTAAAGAAGAACAACCATTTTCCAAATATTTTCTCCTAGTGCATGGCTTGTATGTCCATTTTCTGAAGTGTCTTCTTCTTTTTTTTTACTCCAAGAAAATATTTCTTCAAGCTCCCAATACAAAGTTGAGGACTTAGGTTGGGCTTGAATTGAAAAAAAAAAAAAAACCAAGCTGAATCTGGAATGAAAGTCTTCATTTGGTGGAAGTTGGTGGAAGTCTCATTTGGTGCATTCTAATCAAAGACCTGTCCCAAGGAGGATCTTTCAAGTTTTTAAAAAAATTTTTAACATTTATTTATTTTTGAAAGAGAGACAGTGTGAGTGGGAGAGGCAGAGAGAGAGGGAGACACAGAATCCGAAGCAGCTCCAGGCTCCAAGCTGCCAGCACAGGGCCTGATGTGGGGCTCAAACCCATGAACCATGAGATCATGGCCTGAGCTGAGGTCAGACGCTTAACCAACTGAACCACCCAGGCTCCCCAGGATTTTTCAGGTTTTGAAGAGTCTACCAAGTGAAACCCTCCACAGGCTTTGCTGCTCTTCTTTTGTGTTTTCCCCTTCCCTTTTTCTTGTTTTACCTTCAACTTTTTTCTTTGCCTCTGGTTCACTCATTCAGGGTACTGCCCATGCTAGTCTAGAAGACTCTTTTCACTTGTCTTAAAATCAGTTTCCATTTGCATGCCATCTTTTTCACTTTGAGCCACACATTGAGTTTTCTCTTGACAATGTTTGGGTACCAGCACAGTCGCTACCTCTTGAACATCTTTCATTAAAGCATCACTATCGGGATGTCTGGGCAGCTCAGTTGCTTATGTGTCCAACCTTTGATCTCAAAGTTCATGGGATCGAGCCCCACACCGGACTCTGTGCTGACAGCATGGAGCCTGCTTGAGATTTTCTCTCTTCCTCTCTTTCTGCCTCTGCTTGCTCGTGCACATGCTCGCTCTCGCTCTCTCTCGCTCTCTCTCTCTCAAAATAAATAAATAAACATTTTTAAAAAACCACTATCTACTTTAAGAATATTTTTAAGTCTGGTGAGTCCCTCTGGGGCATTCTTTTTCTCTTTTCAGCATGTGTCTTCTTTTTCCACTTACTCCATAAGCTCTTAGCTATGTTTTACCTGCAACGTGAGAAACGAGGAAACTCAGAGAGCACAGGTAGCCCGCACTGACCAGAAGCTTCCACACATCTGCCTTCCAGGTAGCCCCTCCCACACTTTCCGGAGCCCCCAGATGTCTTGCTGCACTTCAAGAGCTAAGATGCCCCCAGAAAGCTTAACAGTGTCTTTTGAAGAGCAAAATTTTCTTCATACTGATAGATGCCAATTCACCAAAATTTTTCCTGGTTTGTGCTTTTTTTAATTTTTTTTTTTTTTTTGTATCTTAGGAAATTTTTGAGGGTGCCTGGATTGTTCAGTCAGCTAACTGTCCAACTTTGGCTCAGGTTATGATCTTAGTTTGTGAACTCGAGCTCCACATCGGGCTCTGTGCTGACAGCTCAGAGCCTGAAGCCTGCTTCAGGTTCTGTCTCATTCTTTCTCTGCCCCTCCCCCACTTGTGCTCTATCTCTCTCTGTCTCTCAAAAATAAATAAATGTAAAAAAAATTTTTTTAATAAAGGAAAGAAATTTTTTCTCAGGGCACCTGCGTGGCCCAGTTGGCTAAGTGTCCAACTTTGGCTCAGGTCATGATCTCACGGTCTATGGATTTGAACCCCACATTGGGCTTTGTACTGACAGCTCGGAGCCTGGAGCCTGCTTCAGATCCTATGCCTCCCTCTCTCTCTGCCCTTCCCCCACTCACACTCTGTCTCTCTCTCTCAAAAATAAAAAATAAAAAGCATTAAATTTAAAAAAAAAAGGAAAGAAACTTTGTCTCACCCAAGGTCACAGAGAGTTTCTTCTATGAATTTTATCGCTTTATCTCATATACGTAGGTCTGTGATTCATGTCAAGTTAATTTTTGAATGTACTGCAAGGTATACATCAAGACTCATTTTCTTTTTGCGTATGTTTGTTTAATTGTTCTAGCATCATCTACTGAAAAGACTATCCTTTGCCCATTGAGTTACCTTGGACTCTTGGTCAAAAATCAATTAACCATATATGTGTAAGTCAATCTCTGAGCTCTTTATTCTGTTCTTTTGATCTGTCTATCCTTGCATCGATGCCGTGCTGTTTTGATAAATCCTTTCTGAACTGGCATCTGAAGTGAGTCTGAGATATTTTGCCGCCCATACCTAGCTGAGTGTCT